AAGGTCCGCTGGGCGATGGGACCGACGATGAGGCTTGCGACATCGAAGGTCCGACAAGCGATGAGGCCGGTGCGAAGAGGCCGACGATGAGGCCCGCGGCGGAGCAGGTCCGCTGGGCGATGAGGCCTGCGCGAGGAGGCCGACGATGAGGCCTGCGGCGGCGAATGTCCGCTAGGCGACGAGGCTGGTGCGAAGAGGCCGACGATGAAACCCGCGGCGGTGAAGGTCCGCGGGGTGTATCGCCCAACGCGAGGAGGCCGACGGTGAGGCCTGCGGCGGTGATGTTCCGCGCGGCGTTGAGGCCGGTGCGAGAAGGCCGATGAAGAGGCCCGCAACGGAGGCTCGTATTATTATTCATAAATTAACGATTAGTATTTGCAAAAATAGTGGACTGCATGCCTAGGAATCAATAGCAGGGACATAGGAATATGTGGTATTATTCGTCAGACGAAACGAAACGCAGACGAAACAAAATATAGATGAAACTAGCAGCAGACAAACAGTCCTGCCGCCACCCCACTAAGCGGCAGGGAGCACATGCAGCCCCCCATTCCGTTCTTGGGGGCTTGCTGGCTGTTATGCGCCTGCTGCCGCCAGGCCATGTGGTGGCAGGGGCTGCCGCCTGCCGGCGTGGCGGCAGGTGCCACGCGTCGGCTGCCGCGCCTGCCGTCACGGTTGGGCTGGTCTCTTCTGCTAATTTCATTTGAAGGTAGTCTTTTTTGTCAATTTCGTTGGGTAGGTAGTCTTTTTGGATAAAAATTCGGCCCTCTGGGGGTAAGAATGGCGAAGAAGGCCATCGACCGAGGGATGGAGGTAGCAGACATGCGCTCCGCGTTGGCAGTCGAGGGGGAATGCTACGAGCAGCTGCTGCACACGCAGGACCGCCTCGAGGGCCTGGCTGCATTCGCCGAGAAGAGGAAGCCCGTGTACACTGGAGCGTAATCAGCGCCCGATGTGTACACAGGAGAGCAGTGTTGATGTGCCGTGACAAGAACAAGATCGTCTCCTGGACTCCTGCCACTCCGCGTGGTGACGCCAAAGGGAATGATGTTTCGGGGTTGAATATTTTACCGTGGGCCTGGTTGGTTGTTCCGTTCTTCATCTTGGCCGGACCGGGCCGCCGGGCCAATGCGACGGGCCTCTCTTCTTCTCTTGTCCCCGCATCTGCGTGCCATCTTATCGGCGGCGTACGCGCATTTCCGGAGACCGGCCGGCGGCGCGCACGGCGTCGTTTCCGGCTGGTCACGTCCCCAGCGCCCTATGTCTCACGCGACAGCGACAGCGGATGAGTCGGTGGAATTTGGCCGTCTCCTCACGGGCGTGCTACTGACCTGCCACGAGAGCAATGTCTATCCAAGCGCGACGGTTGCTGACGCTGCCTCTGCTCTTTCCTCCGCCCGGCACCAGTCTCCCACTCTCGCCCGACTCTCCACTATGCGCAGCCTCGGGGGCCTCCGCGCCGTCTCCGGCCACCTCGCGGCGGCGAGCGGCGCCTCCTCGTCTCCCCACTGCGTCCTCTTCGCCCGTGCCCTCCAGATCCTCGCCCAGCCGGAGCCCGTTCGCCTCCACAAGCTCTCGGCGCCCGACTCCGGTCCGTCGCTGACCACCGCATCTTGTTCCTTCTTCCTTGAGCTTCTGGAATTTGTGTTCTCAACTCTCAAGGTGTGGTTGGCTTCAGGGATCGTGGAGCTGAGGCTTGAGCGGCCGGAGGCCAGGAACGCCATCGGGAAGGAGATGCTCAAGGGGCTGCGGAGCGCCATGGACAAGGTGGGGGCCGACCCGACGGCCAACGTTGTACTGGTAGCGAGCTCCGTGCCCAAGGTCTTCTGCGCGGGCGCTGACCTCAAGGTGCCACCTCCACCACTCCTATGCTGCAAGTTTGATAAATTTGTGCTCTGGCGGTTCAGCACTTAATTTCATTTCAGGTTGATCTGTAGTGAAATGAAATATGTTTAAGTGTCTGTTCAAATTTTAGATGATAGGGTAGCTGGCAAGCATGGTTAGTAACATAATACAGTAGATGTGTGAGATTGCCACATTGGTACAATGGTGAATAATGCTATGGAATTATTGGCTAATCCTCCGAGGTCAGTCAAGAGCTAACTGATTCAAGAAATAAAACATGTCCTGGTTGGGTTCAGACAACATATGGATGAGCTAGTTTCTCAAGGAATGTCAGTTGAGCTAATGCCAAAACATTCATCTGGTTTGCACCTTCTGAAAGTAATAAATTGATAAATTATGAGGTTAAGATCAGGCTCTGACTTATAAAGAGAAATGTAAATATGTTTAATCAGGTGGATCACAGGAGCGCTGTAAACTCTAATCAGTACAATACCAACTAATGAAATTGTTGTGTTGGTGCTATTTGCCTATGAAGCAGTTCGTTTGAACTTTGAAATGGATGCTACTTTGTGGCATACATCATAAGTTATTTAACTAAAATTATCAGACTCGTTGCATAGAAAAATGGTGAATGCCTTGGTTCTACCTCCTCTATCTTTTCCTTTGTGTTCTACTGATCACAATCCATTTCCTGATCGCAATATATGGTACGTTTGACAGGAAAGGAGGTTAATGGGCCCTTCTGAAGTCCGGGAATTTGTTAATACCTTGAGAGCTACATTCTCATCCTTTGAGGTTTGTAACAGGATGAAACATTTTAATATAGCATGTTACATCCAGTGTGTTAGTTAATATTATGCTATTTGGTGATGAGAGAAAGCACTGTATATCGCTGTTCAAGTTGTATGCATGCTCGTCTTCCTTATTACTACCTAATGGTTCGTTGAAGCCTCAGCGTACATGTTATTTTATCTAGTTTTTCTTGTGTGAACAGGCACTCCCCATTCCTACAATAGCTGTTGTTGAAGGAGCTGCTTTTGGCGGTGGACTAGAGTTGGCTCTTTCATGTGATCTTCGTATATGTGGTATTGCTTTTATTCTGCAGTGCTCAAGTTTCATACATCTTATAGAAACCAGTTTTGGCCCCTCCTTTCAAACAGTTGAATGCATTTCTTCAACATGTTTTGCAGGGGAGAGTGCAACATTCAGCTTGCCAGAAACCGGCCTTGCTATTATTCCTGGGTACGTGTCCAGGATGGCGCTTTACTTTTGTAAGTAAATTATGTGTGTTGACGTTGTCTTGAATTATCAAGTATTCATCGCCTTGCAAATTGACCTAGCAGTTATTCGCCAAACATTTTCATTTTATGCAATATTCACTTCGGTGCATTACTCCATACCAGTACAAATTTAAGTGAGGAATTGCATCCTAAAAGATGCAAAGATGTTATGTGGATTATTGTCCTTGAATAGCATGCCATATCCGAACTGGTTCGAGAATTGCTGGAATCTCTTTAGTGAAATGATATGCTTCAGCTGTTAACATCTACCTCTTACAATACATAGAGCTGGAGGGACACAGCGTCTTCCAAGGATTGTTGGAAGGGCCAGAGCAAAGGAATTGATATTCACTGGCCGTAGATTTGATGCGACAGAAGCTGTAAATATGGGTAAAGGCCAAACTCGTCAGGTTTCTGCATGTTGTTATGGCTTCTTAGTACTTGAGAGAAGACTTTATTACCTCATTAGAAGAATCTGCGTGCAGGAGTAGTGAACTACTGTGTTCCTGGTGGTGAGGCTTATCAAAAGGCTCTTGAACTTGCCCGGGAGATAAATCAGAAAGTAAGACTTTTTTCTGAGCATATTCTGTGCTTCATTTGATATGGTTGTGGCGCAATTCTTTTTCGCAAATTTGTGACCATCTGCTTTCCTTGGAAATGCAGTTCCCAGTTTGAGCCGCAATAATGAACTGTCTTTGGCCATTCTAGATGTTCTGATAATAGTTCTTTTCTTTCAGGGTCCGTTAGCGATAAGGATGGCGAAGAAGGCCATCAATGAAGGGATGGAGGTAGACCTGTCCTCTGCGTTGGCTGTCGAAGAAGGGTGCTACGAGCAAGTTCTGCACACTCAGGATCGCCTCGAAGGTCTAGCTGCATTTGCCGAGAAAAGAAAACCTTTGTACACAGGAAAGTGAGGCCGTACTGAAGTCGACCCTCTTGGCCTCTTATCTGCTGATATCCAGAAGGTTCGCAAGGTGTATGCACATTCCTTCATTGCACTGTGAATTCCAGATAACAAAATGCGTCTGGGATGCTACATTATTTGCAGATGTATCATGGATGTGCTACATCTTCATCGTGTCATGATCGCCTAAAACTGAAATGAACCGCACCCCTGTAACTGTTTCGCAGTACAGCTAGCACGCGGTTTTGTTTTATCATTGCAATTTTCTTGGATAATCCAGGCTTGGGTACAAGATAGACTGGACTTCGGAGTTTGCTGGCTGTACCTTTTCTTTCATAGTGGTCTCTGCATCTGAATGCATGCATGCGCACTGATGTTTTCGTCCGATATTTAGTCTCACTTATCGTGTGATGTGCTACTCTCCAGCGTATCAACAAAAAAAGAGGAGAGCACGCCGGCTCAAACCTAGTACGTGCAGGAGAGAACACAGACAGAGCAGGCCCTGTCTGCCATGCACGCAGGCCGGCCATGATGAGCTTCCAGAGGCAAGAACACAAGGCATACCACGCCAGCCAGGGCCGGCTTCCCTTGGCTTGTCAAGTCGTCATGGTGGTGGGGGCAAAGCCTCCCCACAGACTCCAGACTCGCACGCTTTTAGCAGGCCGAAGCAACCGGACATCATTTCGTCCATGGCCAGAGCTTGGACTACCCGATTCGGCGGTTCCAGTGCCCTACCTACATGGCCATGGCCAGGGAGCAGCAACAGGAGCCGTGGCCATGTGGTTGTCCTTCATGTCAAGAGCTCGCCGGAAAGAGTGGCTCCGATGGCCTATAAACTGGGGCCGGTAACTGTTTCTTATGTCGGGGTAATATAATCCCAATGGCAGTAAACAATCTACCGGCCGCAAGATGCTGCCGCTGCCGCTTCCGAGGGCCGCCATGAGCGTATCGAAAGTCAGAAGCATGGACAGGAGCCTTCGACCCCAAAGATACTGGCCAGTGGGCGTGGTGGAAACTTGAGACAGATTGTGTGTACATCTCTCCTAGGCATTCAAGCAGCGACCTAGGTTCCCGGTTTACTTTAGCTGGTCAGAAGGTAATTTGGAGGCCTAAGTGTTACGGCGAAGTAATTGGCTGTCTCTGTTAGGGCATCTCCAACAGTCGTATGATCATCGTTGGTTAAATTGCCACCTAAACTATTTTGATGATATGGCACATAATAAAAGAAGAGAGAGAATGGAATCGTATGAATCTGAACCAACGCTCCAGGCACAAGCTCCGAGCCAAGTCTGTTCATTTCTTCAACATTTAATGGACCCGCTTAGTTATTTAACATACGCTTAACATACACCCCATTAAAGAGCATGTATGATGTGCTGTTGGCTGCTGATGTGGACAATTATACCAACGATTGAACATACTCCCTCCGTCCGGGTGTATAAGGCTGGTCATAGTGGGGAGTAACTTAGACTAGTAACATACATATGTTACTAGTCTATGTTACTACCTTCATAGTGGGTAGTGTCATAGGTGTGGTAACATAGTTGCCTTCATTTATTACTTTGTAGACTCATTATGCATTGGAAACCGCTATATGATGGTAACATATTATGTTACTCTATTTGCCTCTCTCCTCATTAACTACTTGCCACATCACCATTTTTGCTTATGTGGCATCTATGTTACTACCTATGTTACTCCCACTATAACCAGCCTAAGTCATCTTGCGAAAACCAGATTTTCCCAAAACGTTTAGGCGTGTAACATTAAATTCTCCTTGCTCCCCTCCCAGCCTCATTAACGAGCGTTCTGTTTGTTCCTCGATTCCCTCCGCTCTCACCACCGGATGCTTCATTACGTGCACGTCTTCGCCACCAACCTGCACCCCAACGTTGATTGTGCGAACTTTCTTCTTCCATGTTCCGGAGAGGAGCAACTCATGGTTCGCTTCAATCCATTTGCTCTCCCTCTCCGCACAACCGGAGCTCCACGTCAAAGATTCTTCCGTCATGGCGAACGGATCTTGTGTCTCCGCATCCGGGTCCACAAAAGGAACATCATCTGCCACAACCTCCATAGCGAACGCAACATCCAGCTTATGTACACGTACATACTCCATCTCACCAATCCCTGCAATCATCTGCTGCTGGACAAACTCCTCCTCCATGGTGCAGTTTTTTTCCTCCATGGCGCCCATCTGCTGCTGGACGTCCTCCTCGTCCATGCCTCTCTCCCTTGCCTTCACGATCTGATCCTTCATGGCGCCCATCTTCTTCTCCATGGCGCCCATATTCTCCTCCATGGCGCCCTTCACCTTGCTGCAAGTCTTCTCCATGGCGCCCGCATCCTCCCTCATCTCCATGGATCCAATCTGGAAACCTTCTCCTTCCATGGCGAACAGCCTGCTCTTTCTCTCCTACCCCGTGTTTCCTTCTGCCATAGCTTATAAAGGATGGGAAGAACAGCATGCACGGCATGCAGATTTCGTTTCACACTAGAGAAGAGGTAAAACGGGAGGAGAGGGGTTTCCACGTGGGGAGAACGAGGCAGCGGAGGGAATCGAGGAACAAACAGAACGCTCGTTAATGAGGCTGGGAGGGGAACAAGGAGAATTTAATGTTACACGCCTAAACGTTTTGGAAAAATCTGATTTTCGTAAGATAACTTATACACCCGGACCGAGGAAGTATTGCAGATGCTCTTAAAGTTTAGCATGCGCCACTGCCGTGCGAAGAAACGGATGGCGACAAGAGCCAGGCACATGGGCCCAGCGTGCTTAAGCACCAGGCCGTATTAAGCATGGCAGTTGTTTCATTTTAATTGCAGCTAACCTGCTCTCCGTGGAGCATTTCTCTTAGCTTCCTTACCTTCGTATTGCCTAAAAGCCGCATTAAGCATGGCAGGCAGTTAATTTGCGCGGTAGCATTTCCACTTTTGCTGCTTTTTTCTTTCTTTGAAAAGGTATTTGCCGAAAAAGGCTTTCACCGCACTTTATATATAAAGCAACGATCAATATACAGAATGCATGCAACCCAACATCACACACACGCCTAAGGCAGATGTTGTTGAGTATGTTAGCAATTTCTCGATTAACTTAATCCAAGAAATAAGCATGAACATGATATTAATAGGGTTAAACACATGCTAATATTTAGGGCGAGACGATGGAAGTCAAGCTCATAGAAAAATAGTAGAACCCTGACAAAGGGGTGGAAGGGGAAACTAGACCTTGGATGAGATGGGAGACAAAGACGACTCGTTCCCACTTTCGGGGCACAGGGATGGCGGAGGCTAAATAGACCTCGCCTGTGGCCACGGGAGGTCAGCATTTCACCATGACAGGAAGGTACCCATCGGCTTGAAGCTCGATGATGGTACCGGTGGTGACATTGGAGGGAAGCAGTGGCGGAGACAGGGGGGACCAGCAGGGGCCCTGGCCCCCCCTAATACAACTGATTTAAGCCTAATATACATCTGAACAAGTGATTATTTGCTATGAAAATGATGTATTATGGTGGGCTGGCCCTCCCTGACGAGGCTCAGCAACACTCGGCCCTCCTCGTCCTTTTTTCCTGGCTCCGCCACTGGAGGGAAGCCATTGCCCCTCGTGTTGGCGGCCTCGGATGCCGGAGCAGCATCACCTTTCCCCTTGCCGGCCATCTCTTGCGGTGGAGGAAGAAAGTGGGGAGGAACGGGAGCGAAAGGCGGATCTCGCAGCGCTTGAGCTTGCGGGAGTTCTTGGCAATGGAGCAAGGAATGAGAGCGTGGGTAAAGGCCAGTAAAAGACCAAGGGTCATCGGGTCGCACAGTAAAAATCACCAGTTCCCGATATATCATGTAGTATATGTGTGCGGGGATCAAGGCGTTTCCGATGATGATACCGCTAAAAATCCGGAGCACGACCTCTTTGTGTATAGGACGTGCCATTGGAAACGGCCTTGGGCCACAATATACTGAGTCATAACTAATGAAGGGACGATTCGACTCTGGCATAAGTGGTGACGTTTCGGTTCTCGGCTGAAAAAAGTTATCAGTGTTTAACCCAGCCGATCCACGGCAAGCCTTCGTGGCTAAACTAAGGAGGTCTTCGGACCCACAAAGAAATAATAATAAGTTGCACAGTGTTGGGGATATGACAAGCTAATCATCGTAGCGATGGCCTCACACCTAAGTCCTTTCATTAGGGCATCGGCCGTGACAAAACCACGACACACAGGGAGGGCCCTTGTTAAAAAGATAACCCCTATTACTCGAGATGAATTGCCGCACCCGTCGGCATGCCCCTTCTGTGATCAACTGCCAAAGACATTGGATCATTTGCTTCTCGGATGTGTTCTAGCACGACAGGTATGGGCCAAGATCATGAACACTTGGAGTAGGCCGGAGTGGACGCCATCCGCAGATTCAAAACTAGTTGAATGGTGGACAACACTCAACCCCTAGAAGCAATTTCGAAAGGAGGCGTGGACGGTGATAACACCAGTGCTATGGATGTTGTGGAAGCACCGAAACGACATTGTTTTCAATGGAGCGTCGCCATCGGTGGACGACCTGCTTGTTAAGATCAAGTTAGAGGCTCAGGACTGGAGAGCGGCTGGACTACTGCGTGAACGTGGCTCAGTCATTTGTATGGTAGATAGGTGGGACGAGAGCGAGTAATCCGCATGTGGATTCTTTAGGGCTCTAGCAGCCGCAAGGTTGGTTGTACTAATAACAATGGCCTTTTCTTTTGGACACCCATTCTATCTATGATCCTGATGCGTCAACCTTGACGCATCCCTTGAAAAGAAATGCCAAAAGCCAAAAAGACCTTGGATCCAAATATATCCTCGGATTTACGGCGTGGAAGATAGAACTCGCCTACGAAGCCGAAGACCAGGAAAGATGAAGTTGTTCCGAGGAAGAAATCAGTGTCCTCGGCTTGAAGACTAGTTCAGGGGCTACTAAGGGTATCCTGAATTATGGGGTGCACACCACGTCGGCTTGTCATTCATGGGTCGGGCCGAAGACACGCCAACAACTGAAGAATGGGCCATACGGCGTAATCAAGATAATCCTCCGAAGACTTGGCGTACATTTCAAGGCACATTCAAATGATCGGCATGTTTATCCTTAGATTGCAACCGACTATGTGTAAATCCTAGATACCCCCAATGTCTATATAAGCCGAGGGATTTAGTCTGTAGAGGCACGATTTCAAGGTTTAGAGGTTAGAACTTAGAACTAATACATATGCTCTCGAGGTAGATCATCATGTACTTTGTACTTCATCCACAGTCAATATAATAAAAGCATGACATAGGGTTTTAGCTCTTCGAGAAGGTTCAAACCTGGTAAATATTGTGTCCATATTCTTCATGTTACCATCGTGCCAAGAACACCAGCTCGAAACCCCCTACACGAGGTCCGCTGGTGCGCCCAACACGGCTGACGTAATTTTAGTGTGCCAATTTAGAAAAAAGAAAATACTTATAAAATTAGGGCTTGCAAATAAGTTAAACATAATTATACATTAAAAATGCCAGTCAACTGTCAGCCAAAGTCCACTTAATACATAATTAAACATTAAAAACGCCTCCCAAGCGCCCAATTGCCCGTCATGTAGCCCTGGGCGTCGCCATCGTCCTCCTTGGAGCCGGTGAGGTCGACGAAGTCTGGCGGCGACATAGCCCACGAGAAGGCAGCCTGCCACGCCGCCCTCGCAGCCTCTTCCACCGTCTGCTGCGCCAGCAGCTCTGCTAGGGCTAGGGTTTGTTGTCGCCATGGCTAAGGTTTGCTGTCGTTGGCGAGGAAGCAGGCGTGGCTAGACGTGAATGGGGGGTGTAATTGGATGAGGCCACCTCCCTCCCACGCTTGCATTTAAAAAAAGACGTGGATTCCGGAGGCATCCACACGTTGCCATGTGGCCCAAGGTAGGTGGGCACATTGACCACAATGGTTGGGGTAGTTCTGCGATCGACAAGTGAACCAAAATCAGACGCAAAAATAGACCAAAAATGCGTTCAGACGAAGCGAGCGGATGGATGTTAGATTTAAGTCGGTGGGTTGGACCGGCATTTTTGTTCGTGATTCAAACGGACACGCGTGGACCATTTGCATCGGCGAGTTAGGCCAACTCCACCGCGCGACCTTATCCTGTCCGCGCGCGTCTGTTTGGGGTAAAACGGTCGAATCAGACGGCCCAGCGCGCGGGCGCAAACAGACTTTTATCCGTTTTCTGTCCGCTTTCGACCCATCCCTGGCCCAAGTTTGCGCCGTTTTTGGGGTGAAACGGACAGCACGCGGACGCGCGGGCTGTCTGCGCGTGTCCTCCCCTGGCCCGCCCATCGGTGGCACATGGACGCCTTTTTCTATCCGCCCCCTCCCTCCCTCCGGCCACACACCCTCCACTCTTCTTCACTCTTTCCTCGCCGCCGCCGCCATTGCAGCTGTGCAGCTCGGGCGCGCGCTCGCCCAGCCCCTTCCCCTCGGCGCCCCCGAGCTACCCAACCACGGCCACCTGATTTACGCACCCGCCGGCCGAATTTGGGGCGGATCCGGTCGGTCTTGGGCTCGCCCGGCTGTGGGAGGACGCGCCGCGCCATGGACTGGTCGGGCACAGGCCACATGCAGGCAGTGGCTCCTCCTCTAGCCGCTCGGATCTACACCGTCGGTGGTCCGCCGGCAGATACACGTATGGTGGTCGGCCGGGCTCGGTGCTAGCCCAAAAGCTCGTCGGCGCACCGTTGCCACTCATTAAGTGTGACCACTGCCCAAAGAAGGTCGTGAGCCGCGTGTCTACAACGCCGGAACATCCCAAATGAGTGTTTATCAAGTGCTTAAACGATGGGGTATGTGCTCTTTTTAGCTTCCGTTTGTGCTCTAGACTTGACTAGTTATGCTAACTTCAAATTTTATTGTGTAGAATGGATGCAAATTTTGGTATTGGGAAGAAGAGTACATCGATATATTGATAGAGCGCAATTTAGTAGATGTTCGTGCACTTTTAGCTAGTATAGAGGCTGTAGATGAGACAAGTGCACTCACGAGACTAGATGCGAGGAAGCAACCTCTACTTCTTTAGACTCGAATAAGAAAGAAGCACGCAAGATCGAGGCTCCTCCGCAGATCAACAATGAATGCATCGAGAAAACATTAATCCAACTTATAGGAGCAGTTATGGAAGTTGGATATCTTCTAAAATGTATTTTTGTGATTCTTGTTTTCTTTGCTCTTACTTTTCTAGTTAAAATTTGGTGATGTATTCCCACGTACTAAAAATGAATGATAAAAAAAATTAAAGGCTTACAAAGAAAAAAAAATGCGGATAGGATGCGTCCGCGCGTTGCGCGCACGGCCACCGCATCCAAAAAACGGCCCGGATACGATCACATTGTCCTATCCAAACGGATAGAATTCGATCAAAACAAACATCTATTTAGGATTGCGCGGTGAAGTTGGCCTTAGCTCTAACGCCGCCAACAGATGGAGTGATTGCAGTTGCAGTTTTCCGTCCAACTTGGACGCGTCCACCCTTTACAGTTTTTCCCTTCCCCGCTTCGGTCTCCTCGCGTCACGGGAGTGCGTGGTCTGAGTAAGAAGCTACTTACTCGGGACTAGCAGCAGAGGGTGGCGGGGAGAGCCAAACAAAAACCCGAGCTCAAGCCGCCCTGGATCTCCATTTTAGTTGTTTATGGTGTGGTTTCCCTCTTTTCCCCTCCTGGTCTGTATGTGTCCCGTTCTTGTTTCTGGGGGAAGCTGTCATTTTAGCTATTTTAGCTCTGGTTTCTTTGCTATGTGGGGAAATGTCCCAATGCGCCTTTGTTTCGCTGGTCAAAATCTGGGTTCTTGCTTGCTTTGGGGAAGGCCTTCCGGATGCTCAGGGTTGAAGAAATTTGGTTTCTAATTTGGTGGTTTTGGAGTGTACTCCTCAACAAATTCATGTCCAGTTTGGCGCACTAAGCCTCTTCCCGTGTGTTTATCTGCAGAGTGGAGTGATTCACTGCTTCGGGCTCCTGCATTTGCCCTCTTGCTGGAGCTGGGTGGAGAAGTCTGGATCTTGGTGGAGCCATTCCAATTGCAGAGAAATTGCGGGCCTCCCTGCCCCTGGAGCTCCGTTTGGTGCCAAGAAAAATAGAAGGCAAAAAACATTATCCCGAGTTTTAATCCTGTCGATTGTTTGAAGAACTGCCTCATTTGGTGGACAGAATCGACCAGGGGCTACCGCATCTTGCTGGTGATGGTTTGATGGAGGTGGTTGACAAGATTGCCGGGCCAGAGGGCCCTTGGGTGGCCACTGCCCGGCAGCCAAATAATTCAGAGTTGCCAGCATCAGTAGTGATAGATGCAGCTAGGGAAGGGGAGGGCACGGAGCAGCCCGATGAGAAGGACCCGTCGGCACAAGGCGGGGAGAGCTTCCGGTTCCGGGGCGAGGAATCGTCGGGTGAGGGTGGCCGGAGTTCGTTCTCCGGGGCGAGCCACCCTCCGGAGCCAATCGATGTGGATGTTATGAGCACCGTGTATGTTTCGGTTGACGAGGAGAAGACCGGGCCACCGGGGTGCTTGCTGCGAGGCCCGTCAGCCAAAGCACCGTCCATGGAAGACATTTCTGTCCATGCCGCAGACCTGGAACCCAATGTGGTTGCTTTGGTTGAAGAGATGAAGGTGCCCGGTGCCCCTGTTCCAGAGCCTCCTGGCGAGGCCGTGCCCTCAACTCAGTCGTCGGAGGAGAAGGATCGCACCGGTGACAGCGCCGGTGCCACACGCATCAGGAACAGCTGCACAAGCACACGCAGAAGCGGATCCGTTGCCGGTGAGCCCGCGGTGACCGCCGGGAGGACGCAAGACAGCGCAAAGGGCAGCTTCCGAGGCAGCTCAACGGAGAGCATAAAGACCAGCGGGAGCCAAGCGAGCGACAGCAGCGACGACAGCGGCCGGAGCAACAGCGTCACCGGAGCCGCCAGCAAGCCCCACAAGGGGAACGACCCTCGGTGGCGGGCGATCCTCGCCGTCCGGGCCCGGGGCGGCGCGCTGGGGATGAGCCACTTCAGGCTGCTGAGGCGGCTCGGGTGCGGCGACATCGGCAGCGTGTACCTGTCGGAGCTGAGCGGGACGGGGTGCCACTTCGCGATGAAGGTGATGGACAAGGCGTCGCTGGCGGGGCGGAGGAAGCTGAGCAGGGCGCGGACGGAGAGGGAGATCCTGCAGCTCCTGGACCACCCCTTCCTCCCCACCCTGTACGCGCACTTGGAGACCGACCGCTTCTCGTGCCTGCTCATGGAGTTCTGCCCCGGCGGCGACCTGCACGCGCTGCGGCAGCGCCAGCCGCGGAAGCACTTCTCCGAGTACGCGGCGAGGTAAATCATCCATGTTCCGGTATATCAGTTTGTATTATTATTAGGTGAAATGAAAATGCTTTTCTTCCTGGTTATGTTTATGCTGATATCTTATCTTGTTCTCTTTAATTTTGGAATTCGGTGTACATGTTTGCTTAAACATTCTTTAGTTTTGAAAATAATAATACTCCCTCCGTTCACTTTTGTAAGTCGTTTCAGACAATTTAAAATATGTTGTTTTGTACATTGTCTGAAATATCTTCAAAATCTTATAAAAGTGAACAGATGAAGTATGGCTTGATCAAAATAAATTCGAGAAATGGTACATGAGGAGAAGTCGGAGAAACAGAAGTTCAGTACAGATGAAATGCTGACGTGATTAGTGCGTGTGCTGTGCTGGGCAGGTTTTATGCTGCGGAGGTACTCCTAGCTCTGGAGTATTTGCACATGCTGGGGGTGGTGTACCGGGACCTGAAGCCGGAGAACGTGCTGGTGCGCGACGACGGCCACATCATGCTCTCCGACTTCGACCTCTCGCTGCAGCAGTGCGCGGTGTCGCCGACGCTCGTCAGAGCGCCGGCGTGCGACTCCGACCCCAGGAGGGCAGGCGGCGCCTTCTGCGTGCGGCCCTCCGGCTGCATGGAGCCCTCCGCTGCCTGCGTCCAGCCCGCGTGCTTCATGCCCAGGCTGTTCGGCCAGAGGAGCAGGAGGCGGCGGCGGTGCTCCGAGCCGGGGCAGGGCGTGCCGGAGCTGGTGGCGGAGCCGACGGCGGCGCGGTCGATGTCGTTCGTGGGGACGCACGAGTACCTGGCTCCGGAGATCATCAAGGGCGAGGGCCACGGCAGCGCCGTCGACTGGTGGACGCTGGGCGTCTTCCTGCACGAGCTGCTCTACGGCCGGACGCCCTTCAAGGGGGCGGGCAACCGCGCCACGCTCTTCAACGTCGTCGGCCAGCAGCTGCGCTTCCCGGAGTCACCGCCGACGAGCCACGCCGCCAGGGACCTCGTCAGGGGCCTGCTGGTCAAGGAGCCGCAGCAGCGGCTCGGCGTCAAGCGGGGCGCCGCAGAGATCAAGCAGCACCCCTTCTTCCAGGGGGTCAACTGGGCGCTCATCCGGTGCAGCACGCCTCCCGAGGTGCCCAAGCCCGTCGAGGCCGAGCCGCCAGCGAAATGCGGAGCAACCCAGCAGCCGACGGTGATCGGCGCCGCCGAGGTGAAGTCCGGCGGCAAGTTCCTCGACTTCGAATTCTTTTAGACCACAGAGTTTGTCCCTGGCTCTGATTCGACCAGTGCTATTTAAGCTTGCGAGTTTGTACAAACAACACTATGGGAACCAGGGCAGGAGATTTATCATAGTATACTGGTATAACTGAGCCAATGAATCACAACAACAGATGAAAGCAGGTCAGGTGCATCGACAGACACTGGATGATCTTATTCCTGTCACAACACACCCTTTCTAGACTGGCTGGGGTTTTATATGACCAATTTTGGTGGCTATGCACCATCTTATCTGTAAGAGATCTGTAATGTCAACTAGCCGGCACTGTCATCAACTTACCTTGCCACCCCCACACATCATTTACACACTACTCCCTCTGTAAACTAACATAAGAGCATTTAGATCACTAAAGTAGTGTTCTAAACACTCTTATATTAGTTTATGGAGGGAGTACAGGTTAAGCTAAATAATTGACTAATTTAGCCTAATCTGTGGTGGACTCTCCAGGCAATCGCTCATACAGCCGATAGATCAGCCGCGATTTCGTCATCTGAGGCTCCCTCTCCAGGACGCAGATTACATCCTTCACGGAAACAGTTCGCTGAGGCCCATGCGAGTGGCGATTCGCAAATGAACCCTTGCCTTGCCTTTCCGTGCCTCCTGAAATGGACAGTATGATGTGTGCCCTGAGTTTACAACACTCTAATAATAGAGAATGCGGAGGGAAAATGATGCCAGAATGTCTCTTTACCAGTTCCAAAGGCCGCAAGATGGCTCCTCTTTGAAGCCTCACTGCGTTCTGCAGACCCTTTTCCAGATGCATGGGATGGTCTTGGAGCTGGTGCCCGCTTCTGCTTAGCTTGTTCGGCCATCAGCTGCCACTTTGAAAACATATCACTTCCTCCAACTGCCTGCCGAGCAGCAACATTTGCAGCTGTTGTTCTCATTTTATCGTCTTCTTCTTTGTTGGGCTGCAAGAGATTAAGAATATCAGGAAAAGAAGACATGTCAAACTAGAGAGATCACATCAGATACTTACCTTTGCATTCTTTGGACGGCTTTCCTCTTTTTCTTTCTCCAATTCTGCGCCACCACTGCTCCCATCCTGCACGCAAGTCGCCAACACACTTCCATGAGATTTTGCTATATAAATGAGTACATACATCTTCTAGTACGAAACCAGGGGCACACTTATTACCCAACACTCTTGTTCAGTTTAGAGAATCATCAGTACGATAAAGATACCAAAATTGTAATCCAATATAGAACAGCTAGATTGATTCGACTCATTTATTTTCTCCTTGGAATTTTTTATCAAGACACAAATCATAACTGACAGTCTCTCGAGGATTTAGAACTAACCAACATGCGTATAAATTCCAGAAACACGTGGATAAACACTTAATCCTTAACTTCGGACACCATGCAAGTAATCATCTAATAGCATGATATTTTAACGGAACAAGCCCGTCATCCAAATTGAATATGCGTAAAATGGAGATTATGTAGCACCTCAGTCTGTTTCTTGTTCTTGTCAGTTTCTGCTTGCTTTTTGTCCCATTCTTCTTTAGCTTTCTGGTTCATCTGCAAAATTTGACGGCCGACATCTGAAGTAATAACTAGTCGATGACCAGTCTTTTCTGCATCGGTTCTCTAGCAACAAGACAAGCAAGGTTAGTATCTCATGATACCCAACTATACCACAGCCCGATAACTAAATGATGTGAAATGACTAACCTGCTTTGAAACTCTTATGAGAGTACTTATGAATCTTCGCAATCGCTCCTCCACACACTAAGTAAGAGTTAAGCTTCAGACATAGTGCCACAAAATTCTGGCGGACGGTCCTATGAACAACTTACCATTGATAAACAACGTCCAACATCAGCGTCAGCGTTCTTCAAGTTAGATTTAAGAACTGCCAAAAACATGTCATCAGCCAGTGTTGCTTCAAATATTTATGGTGTATGTAAATACAGTTTTATGGTCTCAATATAAGTTCAAAGGGATTAACCGATTTCTGCTAATTTCTTCAGAAGAGGGCCCTTCTGCAGAAAGAGGTTTTCTTCCTCCTCCTGTACGATTCTCCGTGCTGCTTCTGTGGCTGCGCTCTCTTCCTTGGGGGCAGAGAGCAGTTGTTCCTCTTCTTCCTATTGAAGTAAAAAAGTACCAATAAAATACAAACAAGACACACAAGTAGTATTAGAAACCAAACATCAACCAGGAAGATTCGTACCCTAAGATTAACACCACTAACAGCTGTGACATCATTAAGTTGATCGATGCTTTGTTCCTGGAAGGCTCCAGCTGTCTTTTGTCTTTTGCTAGAAACAGAAAGGAAATCAGATTGGGGTTATCCATAAAATGCAACTACTCCGTAAGCTATAATGCATTCAGAATCAGATAATAAAACAGAACAGGTGGGATGACGTGAATTATGAAACCTGGTTGGTGGTGGTGCTGAACCAGCCGTTTCCAATGATTTCTTCTGGCCACCAGATTTCTTAGTCCTTGCAGCAGGTGGTGTAGATGTTTTAGGGGCCGCCTGACAGTTAAGCCAGATGAGTAGATGCACAAATTATATTTGAAGGAAGACATTTTAAAATTGCGAAGTTCTGAGGTATGAGAAAAATGCATAGCGCCACAAATCCCCTACATTTTTCTCTCCTCATTTTTAACTAGATTACATGGCTAGGCGCATGGAGGCGGCAGAAGGAGGTGAGAGCGAAGGCAGGGTGCGCCGCGAGGTAGCCGGCAGCGTGAGCGACACAGAGAGACAGATGGGGGTTCAAAGAAAGATGCAGCCTCGCGAGAGAGGAGAGTTGAGGGAGTAATAACCCGTGGAAGAGGAAATTTCTTGACTCATCGGTTACGGGAGGCAGAAGAGGAAGCAGCCGCTCGCTTCGGTGACCGTGGGATCGTATGCATGGAGCAGAAGAGAGGAAACAAAAGAATGAGAAGAGATCAGACGGCTGCAGATGGCTGGGCTATATTGCATCAACGGCTAGAACAATTCAGATGACGTGGCTCACTGAGGCTGCAGGGGCTCCTATTCAGACATAGTAGATTACATGGCGCTCACTGAGGCTGCAGGGGCTCCTATTCAGATATAGTAGATTACATGGCTAACACTCATTTAAAAAATGCATAGCAAACAAACATTGCGCTTCAGCTGATCCAAGTCTAGATGAAGCCTTAAATATGCTAATTAAAGAGTGGAACTTTATATATATACACTATAAAAGACGAGCATTTCTACATATGCTATTTTATTTTCATAAACATTGCTGACAAAATATTCCCAGTGCTAAATTTTACACGGTATTAGTTACAAGATATTTGTGGATATGCATATTTTACTATTCAGGGGCTTCTTCCCTAAATTAATTGTTACTATTGTTGGCTGGTACAAGACCGAAGGGTAAACTTGTGGCACCCTGGTTCAAACACATGTCCAACAAGGAGTGGGTAAGGGAGAAACGAGCTTCTCTCTAGCGCCTTAGTATCCTTCGCATCTTCTCGTCCGTCCGTAGTGTCCCGTTGTGTCCAGCTGATCCAACATGCAACAAGAGGAGTGCTGCTCCAACGAAAGGTGAAGAGATCTAAAGTCCCAACCCTCTTAGATTAGGTTCGTAACCTAAGAGAGGGATGGGCCAATGTGATTCGTAGAGAGCTAATTTAGCTGGGCCTAAGACCTTAACTGACCCATGTGTCTGCCATGTCTATCCCCAGCAACATCCAACAACACCTGAACAGGTATTTTTGCAGATTGCACCTACCTAATCATTTCCATGAAAAGTGAGATTTCACAGCACCTAGCCCCAACCTATTAGATGATGAGGCGTAAACGGGGTGATGCCTTGATAGCAATTGTCTTGAAACTATATATGTGGCGACTAACAACCATACCTTGTGAAGTAGAAGCCCAATCAATCCACATTGTCAAACCATTTGGTGTCAACAAAACTGAACTTATGAGAGATATGATGGTTGGGCCGGGAGGTCTTGTGTCCCGTAATTAGATGATGTGGGTGGTGCAGCGGCTAGGGCAGAGGGAGAGAGACTGGGAAATCCTATATATACCTAAATAGTTGGTCCCCGCTACTTCCATTTTTCTCAAGATGCACACATCCCACCTCACAACGCATGTCATGTCGTTCATCATCAAGTACATAAAATCCCTTCATATTCCATTTTCCGCCACATGCATTCCCTCCACATCATCAAGCATATGCAGGCCTTCAAGGTCATCCTTTTTTTCTAGCAACAAATCATCCCCCCGGAGCCAGAAGGTAACGATGCATTACAATGTGAAGTCTACCCTCCATTTACTGCTACCGTTCATATATCGCAAAAGTGGAGGGGCATTATTCTCATATATTCTAATTTTATTCTTGGAAATTTATTGATATAAATTCCCACAGCAAGGCGCTAGTTATTGGTAGCTTATTATTATCACCCTATTCAATAGCTCGTATCCCCTTATACAGATGTAAACACCCCAAACCTCCTTAAGGACTCCAAACTCTTTGGTAACACATTCTGGGAAAATGAAACCTACACCTTGTTGCACCATTGGCTTGCCTTGCGCGCGCCTAAGAGCGGCCCCACCGCTTATACTACTGCCCCCACATAACAGGGGGTAGATCAAAGGGAATTACCAAGTGAATTGGTATGTATTTTAGTGTAAATCAATACTTCAATTCCAGTGTAACAGATCAATAACAGTTCTATTTTCTAATATACATAAATGCTTCAAAAGTTCATTCTGGCAAGATGCTAATACTCCCTCTGTAAAGTAGTGATCTAAACGCTCTTATATTTCTTTACGGAGGGAGTACAATAGAAGTGCCAAATATCCTAGATAATACAATGAAAGCGCTCACGGACATGTGAGATTTCCTTTTCTGTTTATTCTGGTATTCATAAAAACGCTGCATGTGAGGGGAAGCATATACTTCTAGGAGTTTATTTTCCTGCAATTACCCCTTGTATCATGTTGAACTTCATATTAAGTAGTTCAGATTATTCATAGGGAACTAAAATGAAATAAATGCACTGATATTTGGAAATCGGCAAGAAGGGACTGTGTAACACGGAGGTGAGAGACTACTGGAGGACAAATTACCTGCTTTCCTTGCGATTTCGCCGAAGGACCTCCTGGGCCAACCTGGCGGGCCTTGCCTGCAGGCTCAGAACCTTGTTTTGTATTAGCACTTGGGTTATAAGCATTATTTTTTATATCCTTGTTTTGTTGCATTGGGCGTGCCGATGCATTCTGTTGCATTGTCGGATGAGTAGGAACGGTTCCGATTTTCGCAGGAATCCTTCCATGAGGATGAAAGGGAGGTCGTGTTTCAGGCGCTTGACTCTGTGGTCTAAGAGGCATCGAACCACTGGTTGGCCGAGGGTACGACTGAGGGGTGTTAGTAGTTCCATATAATTGCTGTGAGGCTTGCTGGATTTCCGTGGGTTGCAGCTGTTTGTTACTTGTCTGTAGTGGAATTGGCAAGCTCATACCAGGTGGTCGATTCGGCACAGCATGCACCCCCTTTACATCTGGCTTTTGGATAGAATTATCATGAGCAAAGTAATGCATGCTGCTTTGCATTTGTGTGCCTGAAAGTGGCACAAAGTTCTGAGGTGAAGATGATCCCTGGCTTTTGTGGCCCTGGTTAGGTGGGGTGGGCATGCGAACTAGCTGATCAGGCAATTTTGCCGATCCACTCGCAGCTGTAGATGCTAGAGATGACGAAGGATGTTGATTTGCATTTCCCTGGTTATTATTTCGTTGTGCCTGAGCTTGCATCTGCAAACAAGAGCAAATAAAGCAAATATAGGCATGAGAACACAAAATATTACTGAAAGAATTGAGTCATTCAATAAACACGGAAACTCAAACTGGCTCCACGCTTGTCAAGCTTGATGAATAGTTAGCTATCAAGGGGAAAAGGGCAGGGATGGTGTTAACACCATGCATTCACCTGTGCAAAAACTTTATGAGCCGCCTGCTTGAGCATTTGATCCCCAACGATATTCCTTATGACTCTTAAGAAATCATCTTTATGGACTTCATTACGCTGCAAACACAGCATAGACGATCTTAGTAAACAGTTTCTATGTTGAGGTGCCTTTGTTACTCTTCTTTCATCAGTTCCCTCAACTTGTGCAACAATTTGTAACAAGAATGACAATCTGTTCTTTCAAAACAACATGTTCTCCTCTTCTGTTAGACAAGGAAACAAAGGGAAAATGCAGACTTTGCATTACTCTCTTCGCATTAATTTGATAAATAGATGCCTCGGAAACTTTATTAGTACTGATAGCATAATAACGGGGCAGCATAATCTGACACAAATTGGCAGCACAATCTATCATAGCCGCCACACCCTCACCCAAACGTGGCCCTAACTAATGTCATCGGTCAAATGGCTTCCAAAAAGAGCAACTCATTCTTTTTTTCCTTAGTAGTAAATACTGTTGGTCTCCACTAGTGTTATTATGGCCTTTTACTCTGCCAGTTTTTGCAACAAATACACTTAACGAATCTATAGTGTCGTAGCTATACAAGAAACAAACAAGTTTGACCAAACTAATAAATAAAATATGGAAATTTTCTCCATGCAATCAGTTTTCTTTTTATGAAACACATCAGCTAATAACAGAGTAATGAACAAAAACGCACCCTAAGTTTTGCCCATACAGATTGAAGCTGCATGTCTTTATCTCTGTCAAGATGCGCCTGTAGGATTGGAATCAACATATTAAATGGTATAGATGGCTGATATCCCCTCTTCCTTGTTTCCTGGGCACCATGCGGTGCTTGCTGACCGACAACTGGATTTACATGCTGCTGATCTCCTGAAGGCTGAGCGACATCTACCATGGAGCCTGTCAAACTCTGTTGACCAACATAGTCTGTTCCTTTTTCTGCCAACTGGAAGCTATTTGTTTCTGCCTGCTGCACTTGATTCTCACAACGTGGCTGCTCTTGTTCTGGCTGGTAATGGTGTTCCTCCTGTTGGATAAAGTTTTCATTTTCTGAAACTCCAGTTTCCAATTTTGGTTGAGACAACTGATATGATGGATTCATATGTGGTTGCCCTGCCTGCTGGCTTGACTGGGAACTTGCTTCCTGATCTGCTGCTTGCAGCTGACCAACTGTAGATTTGGACACATCACTTATGTCCTGTGGCAAAGTACCTGGAGTGCAGAAATAGAGATTGTTCATGTTTCACAGAGACTCAACAGCAAAAGGCAGGGACCATCACATTACTGAATAACTAGGACACCCAGAATCTCTAGGAATAGCAAGTTGCAAATAAAAGCACATAGTTGAAAACGCAACTCCTCGAAACTAAACAAGAAAAGAAATAGTGGTAAAAAAAGAAAGACAAGAACCATTTTATCAAAATCAGACGATGACTCATTAGGTAGGCACAAGTATCATGAATTTCTGACATGATTTCATGAAATGTTTTGCAAGGTCCGATAAGTGTGCCATAGGAAACAATCATTCTTTCCACCCATATACGAGCTGCTGAAACTTTTCCAAACTACTGACTGACGTGGATACAGGATGCAGAACTGTACCGATACGGGCGACTCAAATGCTACAAATAATCCTTCAAATTATGAGCAATTCATTCGCAATTTCAAGTTTTAACATGCTGTGCTTGCTGCACCAATTCCTACGCTCTACCCTTTTTGCTAAAAACAGCAGTAGCTCCATAAAAATCTTGGCTTTTTCAGTAGACCTGATTTCTTCCTTATATTTATCTTATTATGTATTCCCCAGCATATAAAAACAAAATAATATCCATTAGTCTATTTGACAAAATAACATTGTGACTGTTAGCAAAGTTTTATCCATTTATCAATATCGTACAAAAACATTTATTTCCAATTGTTGACCTTCCTCAACAACCCGCCAAACTTTCAGCATTGGTTTTGCAGAGTTACCAATGCGCTGCAGGATTAATTTCACAAGTTTGCGGAGGAGCGAGGTGCCCATAACCCAAGATAAAGATTTCTTCCATGATGCCAAATAATCCGCTTAGTAACAAGACAGCTTGAAAGCCAGCCACGAATTCTTGCATGCCTCCACGCCAAAAAAAGGGGGGAAAGGCAAACTTGCATGCCAGCATGCAGCTGCGAGTGAATTACAAGCTCAGCAGGTTCCCACTACATCATAGCAGACAAACCTTGCATGGAGACAGATACTAAACTCTGTAGGCATCGAAAAGCAAATCAAGACAAACCTAATCGTGACAAATAGACCAAAACCTGGTCTTCGGAAGCTAATTACACAGCACTACGATACAAACGAGGGAGGGGGTGATGACTGATACCGCTGGATGAAGGGGCACCAGCGTCCCCTACGGCTTCCGGCGGCGGGGAGGACATGGAGGCAGCGAACAGCGAGCCCGGAACCACGAGCCGTGCGCGGCTCCGGCGTTCTAGGGTTTCGCGGGGCGGCGACGCTTAGGCCGCCGCAGAGGCACCGGGGAGCGCTGCCGTACGGAGGCCGCGGCGGAGCAATCGAGGGGATCTGCCGCGTTTCCCCGGCGGCCAAGTGGAGGCGCGGTAGGGACGGCGGGGGCGGCAGCGCCGAAGTGTGTTGACGCCGGTCACGGTCTCGAGCCACGGGCCCACGCGCGTCGCGTGCGGCGCGGAGGGGTTAGGTAGGATAGGGCAGCGGCGGTGCGGCCTGCTGGGCTTCAGTTTACGATAGATTGGGCTGCTCCGCCCGACGCCGAGTTTGGAAAAGGCAAGAAAAGGATAGGGACTTGCCAAACGGGCCGGGCCAAGCAGACCAGCCTGCGAGCACGCCGGCACAGCCCGTTATGGACAAGGCACGACACGGGCTAAACAGGCCGGGCCCGGCACGCGGCACGCCTTAGGCCGTGCTTGGGCTGCTAGGCTGAGCACACGGGCCGGCACGGCATGACCCGATTATCTTTTTTATATCTTTTTTATTTTTTATATACCTATATAAGGCCAGTTGGCTTGGCATGCCAACGGGCTGGCCCGATTAGCAGTTGGGCCGTGCTGGGCTCTAAGGTGCAGCACGCGGGTTGGCACGGCACGACCCCGTAAGTAATCGTGCCTCGGCGGCCTGGGCCGTGCCAGCATGATTACAATCGGCTGGATCGGGCTGGACCAGGCCGGGCCGGCCCTTTTGGCAGCTCTGCTTGGAGTAGGGGCGTTATATAGCACCCGTGAGTCGGACGCGGAGTTTCTGCACCCGAGCTCAAATGAGCTCGGGTGAACAGTAAAATCAAAACTAAATCAAAAAAATTTTAAAAAAAAATCTAATTTTTTTTAGGAGAAACATTGACAAAAGTTTTAAGTGCTTGCAAAAATTCGCCATGAAATCACATTTCTAGAAGGCGTGGCAAAAAAAACAAAATCAGTACTCTGAAAAAGCTACTTTCAAAAGCATTTTGGAGCACTGAATTTGTTTTCTTTTTGCCACGCTTTACAGGGATGTGATTTCATGATGAATTTTTGCAAGCACTTAGAATTTTTGTCAATGTTTCTCCCAAAAAAATTAGAATTTTTTGAATTTTTATTTGATTTTTTTCAATTTTACTGTTCACCGAGCTCAAATGAGCTCGGGAGCAGAAAGGCACTTTCGCCGTGAGTCTCTTGTTACACGTGCACCGCGCAGAGTAATGAGCAAACGCCATCGCCAACTCGCTCAGGTGACCGGCCCATATCTTAGTCCTGAGCGATTTTTAGGGGTTGGATGTGACACAGACCCAACTCCTCCGCCCTAAGAAAACGAAAATCTGGCGCTTCATGTAGCACATTTGGCGTTTGGCCCGGTTTTCAGGAAGAAACTGGGGCAGAAGTTAGTATCATAACCGCAGTAGTAGCGGACACTGTTGAACTATAGGCGTCATCATGATGGTCTTTGAAACGGACTCTCAACTCTTGTCCGAAGCTTTAGATCTACGAAATCTTGATTCCTCACGTTATGTTGACATCGAGGACATGAAATTCCAGCTAAAGATGTGGCTCTCAAAACAAAGCTTTACGGTTCGTAGGCGTGATGCAAACTCGTTAGCACATGAACTAGCAAAAGTTGGTCGTATGTGTTTACCAAATAACACCATTAGCTAGAAATCTATTGTACCGCTCCAAATGGTTGTTTGTATCTCATGTGATTTGCCTCGACGCCGTTAAATTATAAAACTCTACTTTTGCTCAAAAAAAATATAAGGGACATGCTCTTGGGCCAGCTAATTTTTTAAAAAATATATAATATTTCACAAATGAGGGAAGTGAAAATACGAAATTTAAAAGGTGTTCAAGGTTGTCTAAAAGATCATAAACTTTTAAAGGTGTTCTTAAGTTGAAAAATATTAATCATAACGAAAAAACATAACGAAGCCAGAACGCAGATCATACGCGCCGAATGGGCCGGCACATTTCGCCTTTGGCTTCAGCGAAGCCGTAGGCGTCATATAGGATCCACTGTTAAACATATAATTTGGGAACTGCTCGACACCCCTAACCTGGGGTGTGGATATCTCATTATATAGAGGTACCCAAGGGGTACAATACAATGTTACAATACAGATATACAAAGGCTACGTATATACAGTCTAACACCCTCCCTCAATCTTAACTATGTCCTGAAGTACAAAGCAAGTTAAGATTGCGCCTACAGCCTACAAACTGTGGTTGTGGAAGAGGCTTCATGAAGATGTCAGCAAGTTGATCCTTTGACCAGGGCCGGCCCTAGCATCTTAGAGGCCCTTGTGCGAGTTTCATATAATGGGCCCTTATAATATACTCATTTTTTTTTTCAGTGAAGGACTTAGCACCTTTTCCAAATTCAACTAATTGATTTACAACTTAGATCCTTTATTTTTCTCACAACCGATGATAATTGCTTTTTTGGATCTTTATGACAAACAAAAAAGGAGAGAGCACCTGAATTCCAAAATCTTGGTTTTGGAGTAAATTAGAAGAAATTCTATGCTCCATCCATCCAATAATCAAAATTCATGCAAGGACACAACCTGCATAATTTACATGACTGCAATTTGAACAAAAATAGAGCAATCAAGTAGGTTAAACATCAACAATGGCTTATCATGAATTTTGATTATTACGTCAACTCATCATAACAGAAATAAACAGGCAAAGATCAAAGAATTGAGATCTAAAAATTTACCTGGAGGAGCAATGGCTTGATTGCTTCGCTTGAACAGTGCCTGGACTTCACGTCTGCATCGCCTGCCCTCAGACACTGACCACGGCTCTGTCGATGGACGGCCATGGTGTAGGTTGCTGCTCTAGCGTTCTTCCCAGGGGCCCAGGACAAGGATGTGTCACCGGCTGGCCAACATCCGTCGGGGTCCTTTGGGGCAGCGAGGAACCAAAGAAATTATGATTTTGGGGCAGTTTACAGGATGCGAGGAACCAAAGAAATTCATTGATTAACTTTGAGAATTGGGGCGCCTCTTAGGAATTTGGGGGCAATTAATTGGGAAAGAAGACGGAGAACGGAAACGAACGAGGGCGTGATTCAAGGAGCCAGCGAAGGAATCAGTTCGTGCGTGATTTTTTTCCTTGGTAATGGGCCAGACCTGTTTCTCTTGTGTAGTAGTCTATTTTTCTAGAGATATATGGGCCCCTGCTGAGGCTGGGCCCTAGTCCGTCGCACTCCTCGCCATGGCCCAGGGCCGGCCCTGCCTTTGACGAGATGAACTTGATACAGAGTAGCTTCTGTGCAACACGCTCCCGAACAAAGTGATAATCCACCTCGATGTGTTTTGTCCTAGCATGAAACACCGGGTTAGAAGAAAGATATGTCGCACCAATGTTGTCACACCACAGGACCGGAGGACGAGCTTGAGGAACACGCAACTCTCTCAATAGAGACTGTACCCATATGATCTCAGCAGTTGCATCAGCAACCGCTTTGTACTCAGCCTCAGTACTACTGCGAGACACAGTTACTTGTTTGCGAGCATTCCAGGCGATCAAGTTAGGACCCAGAAATACCGCATAGCCCCCCGTGGATCGCCTGTCATCTGGACTACCAGCCCAATCTGCATCAGAGAAAGCCGAGAGCTCATACGACGGTGCAGACTGAAGGAGCAAACCATAGGAGGCACTAAGACTGACATAGCGCAAAATACGCTTCACAGCTGACCAGTGAGACGTCCTCGGTGCATGCAAAAACTAACAGACACGGTTGACTACATAGGAGATATCAGGCCTGGTAATAGTAAGGTATTGCAGACCACCAACGATACTGCGATACTCAGTAGCATCATCAGACGAGAGAGGGTCACCGTCAAGAGCAGACAACCGATCAGTGGCAGACATCGGAGTGTGAACATGTTTGCATGTGAGCATTCCAGCACGACGCAACAAGTCCAAGGCGTACTTTTTCTGAGTGAGAGTCAAACCAGCAGAGGACCGTGAAACCTCAAGACCAAGGAAAAAATGAAGAGCACCTAAATCCTTGACAGCAAAATCATCATGGAGAGCAATCACAAGGCGATCAGCAGCAGCAGCGGAGGTGTTGGGGAACGTAGCAGAAATTCAAAATTTTCCTACGTGTCACCAAGATCTATCTATGGAGAAACCAGCAACGAGGGGAAGGAGAGTGCATCTACATACCCTTGTAGATCGCTAAGCGGAAGCGTTCAAGAGAACGGGGTTGAAGGAGTCGTACTCGTCGTGATCCAAATCACCGGAGATCCTAGTGCCGAACGGATGGCACCTCCGCGTACAACACACGTACAGCCCGGTGACGTCTCCCATGCCTTGATCCAGCAAGGAGAGAGGGAGAGGTTGAGGAAGACTCCATCCAGCAGCAGCACAACGGCGTGGTGGTGGTGGAGGAGCATGGTGATCCAGCAGGGCTTCGCCAAGCACCGCGAGATACGAGGAGAAAGAGAAGTAGGGCTGCGCCAGGGAGAGGTCAGAAACTCATGTGTTGGCAGCCCCAAAGACCTCAACTATATATAGGGGAGAGGGAGGGGGTTGCCCCCCACCTAGGGTTCCACCCTAGGGGCGGCGGCCAGCCCAGATCCCATTTGGTGGGGCGGCCAGGGGAGGGGGAGAGGGAGGCGCACCAGGCATGGGCCCTAAGGCCCATCTGCCCTTAGAGTTTGCCCCC